CTTTCTATTTGGCAACAATCTGGCAGGTGGCTGGACTAGCTCCTTTCCTTGCGTGCTTGTTGGAGTTATTCTCATTTTCCATGTAAGAAACTTATAGCAATACCTTCATGTGTTATTTTTATGTTATTTTTTGCTCTTTAATTGCCATTTCTTTGCTTTAAGCATTTTTAGCTGTTTAAATTCTCTCAGTTTCTAACTGATTTTTAGTTAAGTCATCGATTACTAGGATTGGAACTAATCCACTTGGCATCTATGATGAGTGACACTTCAAATTGCAAGAACATAGAACTTGGTCCTGCTAAAGTATTTGCAATATAATAATCAAGCAGTTAGGAAATTACTCCCCTATAATACTAGTATTCTGAAACAGTAGTAGTTTAGATGCTTCATAATATGAAATTCTTTTCTGCCTTTTGTTTTCCTAAAAGATATTGTTTGTCCTTTTCAAGTCACTTGTAGATTTGTGTGACTGTTTTGTTATCAAAATTAGCGTACATGTGTGTTTATAGCAGATATTGAACAAATAATTGTTTGGACTTAAGGCTGAACATAATCACTTTTACATAATCTGCCCATGCATAAAAGAGAGGATGGCACTAATGTCAATTGCCAAAGGAAAATTTGCCTGCTTGTTGACTGTGTGCCTGTTATGTAAAAAAAGGTGTGTAATTCTTTTTTTTTCCCCTTGAATATTTTTGCTTGAAGCTCATATAGTAGACAATAATTTTTGCTTTTCATTTCTGTCCTTGTTCGTAGCTGCGGGCATTTATCTTATTGCATATTTTTCCAGTGCTGGCATAAAGGGACTCATTATCACATAAAAAGTTTAGTTATACAAAGTCTAGCGCTTTCCACATATCTCATCATTCCCTTTTTTTCAAGAATTCAGATAACAACGCTTTGATTTCTAATAGCTTCTTTTTTGCTTTCGCTGTATGTTGAAAGCATTCATTTTTAGGTCACATTTAAAATGGTATTTGAATTTTATTATGATGTCAGCTCCTCCAGTCAAAAGTGTTAAGTTTAATATCATTTAGAAATGCCATACAAAGTAATGAAGCCAATATTCAGGGTTAATTTACCTCATCTCTGGATAACATTTTGAATAATGACTTTGCTTCATATTTTCTTCAGATTTGGTCACTTGCATATTCTTTAATCTAGTTAATGCAGTAAGCTTGACAAAATCTGAACTTTTCATGATAGCTTAATTTATAGTCAGGCTGGAATTCGTTTTTTATCTAGTGCTTTTCAATAACCAGATAATGTATTTATTACAATCAAGTGGTGTTGCTGATGTCCTGATATCCAAACAATTCAAAGTAGTGACTACATGATATTTGAGATGACTTGCATGCAAATGATTGATCTGTCGTGTATGGGAAATTATGCTTGGAGTGGAGAATTTCAATCTATGACATTATCTGACTTATCAAAGTAGTTTATACTAGCTGTGATGCTTTTGATCATCATTTTTTTTTCTTGTTAAATGTTTCTTTAACCTCGATATTCAACAGGGAATAGTTTACTATTGTCATACTGATTGATGATATTGTGGCAGTATAATTCTTGAAAGTGGAAGACGGTTTATGTTAGTGGTGATAAAATATTCAAGTAAAGTTTCTTAATCATATCCAGTTATTGGATTATAATGGTCTTGTTTTTCCTTTATTTTTTAAGGAACAGATTTATAATTGTATCCACTTGGAAACAGATGAAACAATTTTTTTTTCATTAGAATGCAGATGAAATTTCTTCAAATGTGCATCAACTTCGTAATCTTAATTCATTTGCTTACAGCATTGCAGCTTCACCAGACCTAACTAGCTGTCTTTTTTTATATCAGTGCTGCCAAATGTTAACAAGCTTATTCCTTTTCCTTTTTCAATCATTTCAGGGCAGACGAGGAAGCTGTTGATCCGAAGAAGCTTCTTGAAGAGGCTTGCATGCCAAAATGTGTGAAGCCATTACTTGAATATAAGGTGTGCTATGATCTAGTAGTACGGAGTGTCTTAGAAATAGTTCCCTGCTTAAATATACTAACACGTATTTGATTTGTATTTGACGACTGGATTGTGGTGGTTTAACATGTCGGACTTACTAGAATTTGCTAGAAAAATCTAGTGATATTTCGGGTTGAAGTGGAGGAGTTACTGGTTTGCCCTACTTTTTCCTCTTCGTGCTCATGAGTCAAATACTTACTGAGCTGCTAACTTATTTCCTTGACATATAACCAGCCCTGACTTGAATACAGTGAGTGATGTTTATCCTTTTGGCTCTTGTTGTGATATCAAATCAATGAAAAGAAAGAAAGTATTCAAGCAAAGAAATAGTGTATACTGGTTAAGTTGATTGGCATTTTTTCATGTGATTATTTCCTAACTTCTTGTATTATATCAGAAAAGCAACGCATAACTTTAGTTTGATAACCTTCCTGTTGATTTCAGTTTTTGTTTTGTTAATGGTGGATTGCAACTGCAGGCATGTGTGAAGAGAATCCAAGGCGATGAAAGTGGGAACAAGCACTGCACTGGCCAATACTTCGACTATTGGTCTTGTATTGATAAATGTGTAAGTATTACTTACTGCACTCGTCTTTTAAGGGTGGTTGTCTTTTTTATTCTGTAACTGAATCTGAAATTGGTCGTGCTGAATGCATGCAGGTTGCGCCAAAGCTGTTTGAAAAGATTAAATAATACAATAGATTGTTCAGGGCGATCATTTTCTATTTTGCCTACAGCTCGTAAAGCTGCTTATTCCCTACTTCTCAATAGTAATGGATGTTTGGATTGTTTTTTTTCTGGCATTTCCTAGTTTTCAATTGCTGAGGAAAACTTGAGTTGTGATCAATAAGATGAAACCTGGGTAACATTCTCCTGACCAAATTTATCAACTTTTCGAAGATTGAATCCAAAGAAAGATTTTGGAGATGTTTTATTTATTTATTTTTTTGGGTATATATATTCATAGTTGATCGTATTAATACTAAATGAATAATCATTATTTTGTGGGTTATAACAAATGTGTCTGAGTTAAAGTGGGTATAAATTTGATTATGAAAGTTGCCATCATATGATCTGGATGCATGCACCATGATCAAGTAAAGTTGCCATCAGAATCACTTAGGGGCTGTGCTTTGGAAATTACTGGAAGAGAAAAGAAAGGACACGGAAGGTGATGGAAATGATTTTTTTTTTTTTTGTGTGGTTTGGAAGCTAAAAAATTAGAAGGCGAATAAATGAAGAGAGAATTCTTGAAGTATGTATAGTTGTTGGGTTAAAAAATATATATTTCTATGAATTTATTCATGTGTCTTTTACTCTATATAATATAAAACAATGAGTCATGAAATCCAAAATGGTTAGAAATGCTCAGAAATACAAATGGTAAAAAAAAAAAAATGTATAAATGTTACACAGACTACTTAGAAGTGTATAAGATAAATAGTTAGAAACGCCTTATTAAGTGTTTAGAATTTTCAACAACATGCTGAGACACATTTTTTAAACTTATCTACCATCATCTTAGATATCTAAATTTTAGGAATAACATAACGTGGGAATCTGGAGGGATAAAAGGCAATCTACCATTTGTTATTAATTCTTTTAAAACCTAGATTTCCATATAAGAAAGAAAATATTTTTTTTTCTTTTTTCGTTTTTTTTTTCTTTTGCTCTCTTATTATGCTTCGTTCTTCTCTATTCGAGCATATTCTAAAAGTTACATGTCTAAATAATAAGTAAGTTGAGAAAATTAGAGAGAATTGGTTGGAAGTTTTTTTTGTATATACTTTATTGAGAGAGGAGAAATATATATAGGAGAATATACACAATCTTGACTACCTATATCTAAGGTTATGAAGTCGTAATCTTCAATCAGTGGGATTTAACTCAAATCAATATAGGAAATTAAATATATAAAGAATATGAGAGGTATACAAAAATGGAAAACATATATTATAAGATTTTTCTTAATACTCTCCCTCAAGTTGGAGAGTGAATGTCATAAAGTCACAAGTTGTTGCATAACGTCAAAAAATGGTATTTTCTTAAAGATTTTGTGAATATATTTGCTAACTAGAATTGCGTTGAAATATGAGAAGGGTTTATCATTCCAGTTTGCAAATTTTTCTGAAACAATGTGACAATCTATTTCAATGTATTTCATACGTTCATGAAAGACTGGATTTGCAGCAATGTGTAGGGCTGCTTGATTATCACAAAATAATGGTGTAGGAGTTGCTTGTAAAACTTTCAAATCTTGTAGTATGTAGCGCAACCAAGTCAACTCTAAACATGTATTGGTCATGGCTCGATATTCGACTTATGCTGATGATCTAGAGACATTAACTTGTTCCTTGGATTTTTATGAGATGAGAGAGTCTTTAAAGCAAATGTAGTATCTTGTAACAGACTTTCTTGTGGCACAATAACCTCCCCAATCTAAATCACAATAGGCTTTTAAATCAAGATTATTAGTGGATGGAAACAATAATTCTTGACCAGGAGTACCTTTGATATATCTAAGAATCCGCATAACAGCATCCCTATGAGGTCTTCAAGGTTTATACACAAACTGAATTAGTGTTTGAACTGAGTAAACTATGTTCGGTCTTGTGACTATAAGATAAATCAATCTACCAATGAGTCTTCTATATTTAGTTGGATCATTTAGTAGCATTCCATCTGTAGGAGTGAGTTTTAAATTTTGTTCCATTAGAAACTTATCTGGGTGTGCACCTAAAAATCCTGAATCTTGCAAAATATCCAAAGTATATTTTCTCTGAGACATGAAAATACCTTTTTTGGAGCATGAAAACTCAATACCCATTAAATATTTCAGATCTCCAAGATCTTTGATGCGAAAGCATTGCAAAAGAAAATCTTTAAGGTGTTTCATCTCTTGAAGGTCATTTCCTGTAAGAAGTATGTCATCAACGTAAATAAGGACTATTGTGAATGAACAACCTTCGGCTTTAGTGAAATGTGAATAATCAACTTTTGATTGTTGGTGACCATCATTTTGAATAGTATCTGAAAACATAAAAAACCAGTTTCCTGATGTTTGCTTAAGTCCATAAAGTTACTTATTGAGTCGACACACAATGTTCTTCCCCTATCGGCAAAGACCAGGTAGAGTTTTCATGTACACTATCTCATGTAAATCACCGTGAAGAAAAATATTTTGTACATCTAGTTGATGTATAAATCAATTGCAAGCAACTGCAATAGTAAGAATACAACATAAGGTGGTGAGTTTGGTAGTAGGAGAAAAGGTTTCTTGATAATCAATACCTTCAACTTGAGTGTAACTTTTAGGTACAAGCCGCACTTTATAACACTTAATGGTGCCATCAGATCTGTATTTTATTTTGTATACCCATTTGTAACTGATGAGTTTATGACCGGTAAGAACAGGAACTAAACTCCATATATTGTTTTGTTGCAAAGTTTATAACTTTGTATTCATAGTGTGTTGTCAATGTGGGTCATAGAAAACTTGAGCATAGGATTGAGGCTCTTTATGACCTATAATGTTAGCTAAAAAAAAAAAATACAATGGGCAGTAGAAAGACGAGAATATGAAAAAAAATGAGAGAGAGGGTACTAAGTATTGGATTTTGAATTTGGCGCGGAGGTAGAGTGATTGACTAGAGCTGACAATATGTAGTCTTTTTGCCATATTGGTGATTGCTGAAGGCGAATGGATTGACAGAAAGGGAGGGAAGTTAAAGGATCTAAGTTGTTAGGAGGAGATATAGGTGGTTCATCTTGAGTTGATGAAGTAGGGGATGAGAAAGAATCTGTGGTAGTAGGAGCAGGTTTGGGAGATGGGAATTCTTTGCCTTTAGACATATCAGTCTATTGGGGTGGGGTGGAGGTATTTTGTGATGGAGACCAATTGTTTGAATAAGCAAAAGAAGGATCAGGTAACGCAAAACTACAATATGGAGTATTCAAAATTGAAGAAAAAGTGATTTTATAAAATTTAACGTCACAACTAACAAAAAAAATGTTATTATCTAAATCATAAAGTTTGTAACCTTTTTAACCAGTAGGGTATCTAACAAAAATACATTTTTTAGCACGTGGTTCAAACTTGTATGTGTGATGAATAATAGTTGCATAATATAAGCAACCGAATACTCTTAAGTGACCAAATGATGGTGGACGTTTGTACAATAATTCAAAAGGGGATTTGTTGGATAACAATGGTGATGCTAATCGATTTATAAGATAAATAGCAATTAATACAGATTTACCCCAAAAATTAAGAGGTAGATGGGACTGAAATAGTAATGCACAGGCTATCTGTAAAATATGTCGATGTTTGTGTTCAACAACTACATTATGTTATGGAGTGTAGACACAAGTATGCTGGTATTCAATACATTTAGATTGAAAAAAAAATCTTTTATTGACATGAATTCAAAACCATTATCTACTCTGATGGCTTTTATGGTTGCATGAAATTGAATATGAGTAAAGGTAATAAAAGATTTTAAAATACTTTGAGTTTTATATTTGAATTGCATAAGAAATATCCATGTGCATCTTGTAAAATTATCAACAATAGTAAGAAAATAATGTGTACCTGAATGTGTAGGAATTTTGTGAGGACCCCAAATATTACAATATAATAATTCAAAAGGAGCATGAGTTGATATGGAACTTAAAGAGAAAAGAAGTCTGGCTTGTTTAGCCATAGGACAAGCATTACAATTATTATCCAAAGAAATATTGTTGGTAGGCAATAAGGAAAAAACTAACTTAAGGAGAAGTGGTGATGGATGTCCAAGGCGCATGTGCCACACGTTTTGAGGACGAGAAACTTGGTGAGAGACTGGTGTTATTTATATTGGAGACATGTAATAAAGACCATCTTGTTGCTTACCTGAGCCAATCATCTTCCCCATAACCAAGTCTTATAGGAAATAAAAGGTGGGAAACAAAATGGCACAACAGTTTAAAGTAATGGTAAGTTTACGTACTAATATTAAGTTTAATAAAAAAGAAGGAACACATAAAAAATTGTCTAAATTGATATCTGGAGTAAATGATATGGTTCATATAGAAGTAATTGGGGCAGAAGACCCTGTGGGTAAATTGACAATAGGTATTAATGACCATTTTATGTGAGTGAAAAGTAAAGAATCTGAAGTGATATGGTTAGTAGCTCCACTATCCAAAATCCAAGGTTTAGTGAATATAGAATTAATTGAGATATTAGAAAAGGGAAACAGACCTGTAGCATTTGCTTATAGCATTGTTGTTGCAGAAGCAAATTTTGTAGACATCATAGATAAAGCATGAACTAGTTGTTGAATTTGATATGCTGATAAACCATGTGTGGGATTCAGCTGGTTAGAGAATTGATTTGGTTTATTGACATCCTGTGAATGAGTGTCTTTCACAGACTGAGAAGAGTTTGCCATATTGACATTAGAGAAGGATTTGGGTACAGTTCTTTTTTATCTATGTTGCTTCTGTTGTGGTTGACCTTGTCGATTCCTTTGAGCTCCATGGTTATTAGAAACCCATGTACCATTTTTAAACTTGCATCTTTCTTCAATATGTCATCTTCTATCACAATAGTTGTAATGAAATTTTAGAGTTCGACAGTTTTCAATAGTGTGACCTTCTCTATTACAATGTTCACAATGCTTGTCTTTAGATTATTTGAGAAGTTATTTGAATGATTTTGAACTGTAATAGCAATAGAAAAATTCCCAGTTGATTATGAAGTTATTTGATGTTGTGTTTCATCTTGAATAACCAAAGAATAAGCTTGACATACATTAGATAATGGAGTCATCATGAGAATATTGGTGCAAATGACGTTGTACGCATCATTAAAACCCATAAGGAATTGCATCACTCGATGCTCTTCCCTTTGTTCATTATGTGCTTTCATCTTATTACAGGTCGGAAGAGTGCGATATGTTT